TATAACAGGATTGGGTAGCAGTCGAATACATCATGCTCAAACAAGGTCAATTTGTGGTCATCAGCATCCACTTTCACAGCAGATACATCCTTACTCATTCTAATTAGCTGAGCCAGAAGCTCTATGGCACAAGATTGGGGAAAGTGGGGCACCCTTGGGGCCTACCTCTAGCAAAAGGGAAACATCACAAAGCTGAGACAACCATATTTTTTAAAAGCTGACAGGTTTAAATAAAGTGCCTGAACCCAGTTTATTAGTCTGCGCCCGAAACCCCAGTGAACAAAGAACAATGAACAAAGAGGTTCTAGAGGAAGTAAAGTGCTTTACTAATGTGTAGGAATACATCAACGCTGGGAAGTATTTTTTTTGGCCTGCGGGAATCTGATGTAAATCTTTCATTTTATTTTACCGACTTGCTACTGGGGGTCAATACCAACTTGGTCCTTGAACCTGAAGGCAAGTACCGTATTTAAGCCATTATCTTTTTGTCTAAAGTGATCAGTGATATTGGATAAAAAAATTGCCAAAGCAATGCTGTTTAAAAAAAAAATAGCAGTGAAGCCCTCAGGACCTGTTTTTTTACTCACAATTTTAAAGATTTGATCCCTCTGAGGATTTCAGTGGTGGTAATCATTCATGCTTATGTTAAATCCATGTTAATTCTGTATGAAACCTTCCTGTGTATCCATATCTATTCACAGAGAGGCTCTGTCCTATCAGTGACTACTATGTAGCGATAAGCTGGAACCTAACAGATCCTTTGATTTGTAGATTAAGAAAAAAAAAATAGATAACCTGATAAATGTTAAGTGCTCTGCATTTTTGGTACACTGGTGGAAATTTGGATTTCACTGAATGGGTTTCACCAGATGGCTTGCTACACTTTCTGTCATGCTAATATTGGTGCTGACTCACTGAAGCCTAGTTTCATCAAACACTCCTCCTGTCTGGTGTAATTCCTGTCAGATCAGTAAAACAATCTTTTCATAACAAACACCTAAAGATTATGCAATGATTTTATTATAATAAAAAAAATTAATGTGCCATTTCCTCCTTGGCTTTAAAACTGCCACACTGTGTGCACATTACAAGTGCCCAGAGCACTCTTCTGTGTACTAATAGTTGAAATATGTATTTCAAAATACATGCATTCTTATGCCCCCACATAAAGCAGCATGTACTGGCTTAATACAGAAATGGTTCCTTCTCTGCCAACCGTTTTCTTTTATTGTATCACAGTCCATGCCAACAGAATTATGGGAACATTTAAAAGAGTGACCATTTTATCATGCATTGTGTTGAAATGGTTTTACAGCACCTTGTCCGTTAACTTTTCACACATTAACTTATAAATGATGAAAGGTAATGTATTATAATTGTATTTATATTTGCTCATTAAATTCAAATGTTTATTTTTAGTCAGGTAGATGCAGATTGCATAATATTATTTGTATTCCTATTTTTAGCTAGCAGGTGATATTTTGGTCTCCACATTTTACTCTGTCACATTACCCTGTTTTGTAACAAGCCTGTTGGTTACAGAGATCAATAGCTCAAGGTGAGATTTGCACACAAAAGTAAACTAGTCAGAGGAATGACTCCATCCTTATTGGATGGCTCTATCTAAGGTTTTAAAAACCTGTGAGGAGAGCCCGGTCACATGACCTCTCAGTCATGTATCAGGCCTCTACTCTAGTTACAAGGTGCTCTCTGCAGTTGCATGCACAGCACATACTGTAGGGCACTGTAGGCTTCACACCACATCCTGTATTTTTTAAATGAAGCATGAAATGCAGATGTAGTGTAGAGTAAACACTACAGTGTCCATTGGATAGCAATATACTATTTCCATTATGGGGGTCTATGTGGTGGTGTTTTAACTGTAGAACTATTATGTTTAAAGAGACCCTGTCACAACCTAAATAATTGCAGGTAATAAGTTGTCCCTGTATGGAAAATTAAAGTAGATTCAGAGTTATGTTATCTTTTGCGTTATTAAAACACACAAGAAGCAGTAAAAGGCATTGAGGTCTCTAAGCTAGCTCTCCTTCTAACCCTCGTTATTTTGACTGTTCTCTAGAAATACCCTGTTTCCCCAAAAATAAGACCTACACCGAAAATAAGACCTAGTACTATTTTTGGGAATTGCTAAAATATAAGACCTACCCCGAAAATAAGACCTAGTTGTGACCATTCCCAGGGCCGATGGTGGCATAAGGGGGAACTTGAAAAAAGGCGGGAGAGAATCAGCGGTGCCAATGAAGCCAGCGCTAGAGGGAGTGAGGCGGCAGCGGAGGGAGCAAAGGCGCATAAGCCGATGTTTCCTCTATAGCCCCGGCTCCTGTCACAGGCGGAGTGATACCAAATGCACTCCGCCTGTGAGGAATCGATAGCAAAAGCGTGCTTCGCTCATCCTGGCCAGCGATTGGTTAACAAACTGCTCTTGGAAAGGTACGGTACCCCTGATTGCCCTGATCACCATATTTTTTTACATGAATACATGTAGACTGTTGTACATGAATAAGTGTGAATTGCTGTATAATTTAAAAAAATAAGATCTACCCCGAAAATAAGACCTAGTGTGTTTTTTTTGAGCCAAAAAAAATATAAGACAGTGTCTTATTTTCGGGGAAACACGGTAGTGCAGGAACTAGAAGTGGAGAAACCTCATGTTTCTTTTTTAGACAAGCTGCATATGCAATTCTGTAAAGTGCATGGTATTAGTAAATTGATTGGATATGAACTTTGAACAGTACCATACTGAGCTGTCTAAAGGATTAGGCATAGTTTTCAGTGGGGACATTGTGAACCATTTTGTGTAGCCTGGGGACCTAAAATACAAATTAAATCGATTTTAATTTGAGGTTGTAATACTGCAAAACTGGAAAACTCCAAAGGGGGTGAAAACTTATGAAAGACACTGTAGTCTTGCAAGTTTGGGGTTGTGTAGGTTTGGAACTGTCAAAAATACTTTGATGGATGTCAATGTGGCTTTTGTTTCCTTGAGAAAACTGAGAACTTTTCTTTTTTCTTTGAGGTTATTTTGCATCTTTCAGAAATACAATATATAGAGAAGCTGGGAAATGATTTCCTTGTGATGGTTTTCATTAGCTGGAATGTACAATAAAAGTTCTGCTACATGCTAGTTTCTCAAAGTTCCAACACGTATTTGGATATATGTAGATCACCCATTTTCACACGCAGCAGTCGTTTTCTAGATTGATTTTTTTGTAGCTGGATATATCATTCCGGAAGCTGTTTAACCCACACAAGCCAATCACCCACAATTGTTTGATAGCTAAAGTATTAGTAGTTGTCTGATTTTTATCGGGCAGGGTTGCACAGCCTGCAATTCTACTTAATTTATTGCATTAACTGCTGTTTGAGTGAATGGCACATTTAGCCATGACATGCAGGTATAAGCTCCAATATGTTTACGCAAGCCAACTTCTCCAAGATATTGTGATTTAGGTATTTGGTGACTTTGTCATCTGTCAACGTGATCATTCATCATTGCTTCCTAGAAAAACCAGATAGATTTTAGAAGCTTTAAACTAAAGAAGAACTCTGGGCATATTAAATCTTAACCCTTGCAGTGGGGCTCCCCCCACACTGCAGGGGTTAAGTGCTCATTTTGTCTAGTGAGCTTAAATAACTAATATACTCACTCAAATCTCGGACCTAGATTTAAGTGAGTATACTAGACAAAACGAGCACCTAACCCCTCCAGTGTGGGGGTAGCCCAATACAAGGGTTATGGTTTCATATGCCCCGAGTTCTTCTCTAAGGGAGAGGGGTGGACAAGGGTCTGTTTTTTTTACTTGAGTTCTACTTTAACTGTCTTATTTGTAATATGTTGCTCCTCTTTCTGTAATGGAAGACAAATTATATGGGCATGATTAGGTTGTATTCATTATCACAGCTCTGGGCCCTGAACTTATGATGACTTAAGTTGTCAAGTATATATTTTTTTCTAGTGAGAACAGGCTTGGACAGTAATTGTTCAGTTAGTCTGTTTTTGTCTCATTATAACTAAACCTAATCATTAGTCTCAACTAATATGATGAGTCTGAAAATGTGCAGGTGTATTAAATTCAGTTAGACTAGGATGTCCAGTGGGATTTCAGTGAGAGATCAGCAGAATGCTGTTGTTTGTCATGGTCTCTAAAGACCTCATAACATGTTTTTTTAGCATATAAATCCAATATGCCTAGTCTAAGAGATTGAATGCAGGTAAATCATGGTGCAGAGCCTTAACTGCGTCTATTTTCAAGTTCAGACAATCTGTTGTAAAGTAAACTAAAACCATTTAACACAAGTACCTGATGAACCAAAACTGATCCCTTCAGTTCAGTTGGCTGGTTTTGTTTGCAATCAACTTTTCAGTCTGACGGAACACAGGCTATCCTAATGACAGACTGGGGGAGTCATACAAATCCACTAAGAGCAGGAAACACTGGGCTCGTGATTGGGCAACATATGTCACAAGCATCATATAGCTTCCATCACTGTCTTGCTGCAAAAGACCACCATATTGGAGTCCAGCTCAAAAGTAGCAGGTCAAGGCTTCTGATACTGCCATAACAGCATAGTACAACATTTATAGAAAGTCAATGGACCCTCAGAATTCAGTTTTATTCCAACTACAAATTCCAAGGAGTGGCAACAATGATATGATTTTTGCAGCTTTCAAATTTATGATGTCAACATTTTATCAATGTCTGTATTACTTTCAGCTCCTTATATTCTCAAGCTCAACTACTGTATTAAAAAATGTTTAACTTTATACATCCACTTTTTGAATAACTTTATTAGGATGTGCGTTGTCTTGCTGGTGTGACTTGCTGTTTCCCTTGCCTAACCCCTGTATCAGGTTGTATTGACAAATGCTTGAAAGCGTGGAACATTTAGAAGAGTAGTTTGAGACTGTTATATTTTTATCAACAATATATTATTTCATAAGTAATCTGTTTGTGTTTGTTTTTTAATTCAATTAACAGGAGGAACAAGCTGCCAAAATTAAGGCAGAGAAGATTCGAATCGCTCTTGAAAAAATAAAAGAAGCTCAAGTGAAAAAGGTGAATGCAATAGAGAGTAGACACAGTTCAGATTCATGCATAATATATGTAATTAATTGCTAGACTCTGAAAGGTGTTTGTTTCTACCATCAAAAGAATTGGTTGTAGGGGAAAAACAGTAGGCTTTTACAGAAGCCACACAAAAATAACTATAAGACAGAAATGTTTTATTTCTTTGACTGATTTTGCTGAACATAAGTCAAACCTGGACAATAACATTGTTTTAATGGCAGTACAATAATAATATGGCATTGGCAACTATCTTGAAAGACTGGGCATTTGCTGTTAATCCTTCAGTTCTGAGCTTCTTGTATAAAGGCTACCTTACTAACCTTTGCAACTTTAATTGCTGAGCTTGCCATCTGTGTTCCTCTTACTCATCTAGGATGACTAACCTTGAATACTCTTTTGTTATCTCAATGTGTGAATCCTTTTGTATAGTTCATTTATTATTATGTGCATTGAAACTCAAGGTCTCTAAAGTAGGACATTTAGTACATGAAAGAGGGGAGTGTTCTTAGCTTGACCCATATATTCTGGGTATTATCTTTTGGATATTACTGCTATGAATTTGGGCTAAATTATACTGAATATCTCTCCTATATCTATATCTATCTATTTAAGTCCACCTGGTGGAAACTGTTGAGCTTTTCAACATATTTGAACAGACAAATGTTAGGTCATATATAGGTGATAATGGAGGGCCCTCCTAACCATCTTGTCTTGAATTGTATTGTAACTGTAATATTTCCTTATATTGTAAAGCGCAGCAAAACTGTTGGCACTATATCAATCCTGTATTATAATAATAATTGATCAAAAATATCAATAGATGTAATAGTATTGCCCCCTATAGCAGAAATCCCTTTTAGTAGTCATTTTGTATAAATGTCCACAGCCTCTGATGTCAACATCGAAATTTGGACTGTTTTTACATACAAAATTCCTTTAGTTGCAAAATGTTTGAGGGTTTCCTTGCATGAACTGCCCATTTTAAAATTAATGTACAAATAGGGATACAATTTGACTAATGCATTCCCTAACACTCTATTTCTCCTTACTGAGCCATCCTTTTGAGGATTGCTAGTGTGCTTTGGATTATTATCGTGTTAGGCCTCATTCACACTGGCGCGCATGTACGTGCGTATTGTACCATATGCAACACATGCAAATAAATGACTCCATACACATAGCCGCGCATGGAGCCGTATATTTGCGTAGCGTATATATGCGAAAAAACAGAATGGAACAGAGATGCGTCCGGGCAGCGTATTGCTGCGTATTTACACGCACATACGCGTATATACACGCACGTACATGCGTACAGCACATTAAAAATTCCATCACGAGTGATGCATTCTGGGATTGCATATAGTGCACACATATACGCAGGTATATGCGTATAAATACGCGCATATACGCAATATACAATTTTGCTCTATATGTTCAATGGCAAATTGTAGTATTCTTCTAATGTTCCTCTTGCACAGCAAAGGCCTTTTCCTGGCACACCTCTAATGCAGGTTCAATTTGTCCAATCTCTTCCTGATAGTAGATGCATGCACTTTAAGTGGGGAGGGGGGAATCCAGTCCCTCCCCTGTCATGGCAGAGAGCCGTGACAGGATCGAGAAGTGAGCAAATGCCGGTATGTGTTCGCTCACTTCCCGATCTACTAAGCCGACCTGTGACAGTCTCATTGTCACAGGTCGGCTAGAACTATGAGGTGAGTGAAAATAACTCACCTCATAGTTCTCCTTTAACCCAACTGTTGCTAGAGTTGCCTGGACATCATGTGATGAAATTTTAGGATTCTTGGATACCTCTTTTAGCATCTAATGGTCAGTTCATGGAATGAATTTGCTGGACTGGCTAGTCCTGGACAAAACATTAGCCGTATAAAATCTATGCCATTTATAGATCATATATCTTACTGTGGAATGATTGATATCAGGTGATTTGATGATCTTCTTTAAGTCCCTTGCCAAACCCATAGACATCCACAACTTTTTTATTTTGAGGGATTTAGAGAGCTCTATTGATCATGGCATGATGGCACCACATATGTCAATAGCAAAGAGAACACCAGAACCTAGATATCTCAGGTTTAAATAAGACAGGTAAATAATAGGCATGTACTTACATTTTCCATCAGACAGATCTACATTTTTGTTAATTTAGATCATGAAATGAATACACTGTCCGTTTTGTGTGTCGTGTGTTCTGAGTATATTACCTGTATCTGTATGCAGTATATGAATCAAGATATAATATTTGCCTGTTCAAATATGTTGAAAATTTTACCATTTTTCATGGCGGTGTCCTCACATATTAACAACTATCTATTTATCTATGAACATTGCATGGTCTATTTATTATACGCCAATCCCTTGTTAAAGCTAGAGTCACAAGTGTTTTTTCACCCCCAGTGTTCCCCCCCCCAGTGCTTTTTCCATTAAAATGAACAGAAATGCATAAGAATGCATGCTAACAAGCAATGACTGCACCTGTCATAACACACATTGGAACACATTGCTGCATGGCATAATGTGTTCACATGTATCATAACACTTTCATGTCCATTGTGACACATGTCCAAATGCATGCACTGATGGGTGTTTTTATATGTTTCCATTGATTGGAAAATGCATCAAGCAGAAGTGCAAAGGTGTGAATCCAGCCTAATACTTGTTGATAGTTGGTAATTGTTTTTGACCAAAAGCTTTCTTTCTTATCTGTTTTCCACACAATACTTATTCCCCTTCATCCCAGCTGGTGATCAGAGTTCACATGTCAGACGACAGCTCCAAGACAATGATGGTGGATGAGAGACAAACAGTACGGCAGGTGCTGGACAATTTGATGGATAAATCCCACTGTGGATTCAGCCTGGATTGGTCACTGGTGGAAACGATTTCTGAGCTGCAGATGGGTTAGTCTATTTATAGCTATAAGGCATGTTAAATGCATTTATAAGGCTATCTGAGTAAATGAGTTATTGGTAAACATATAATGCTTTGTTTTAAATTTAATGCGGCATATTGAAATTTTATGTAAAACTTTTTTGGAGGAGAACTTTAGGCAGCTGAATGGTGCACCTCTTGATGTTGTTAAAAACGTGTTAATGTTATTCAGCTCTTTGCTGCTAATTACGAAGTTAAAGGCAAGCTACAGCACATTTTCAGTAAGCACATTTTGTGAATAATTATATCTGTTTTTACCTTAAAGCATTTTCGATGCAACTTTCACATTTTAAAAACTTGCTCTTCCGTGTTTATATTACATAATGAGATTTAATTCAGCCGCTCTAGGGAGCTTTGTCTTTCAATGCAATTACTTGGCCTTTCTGTTTAACTACTGTTCAAATATCTAGACAGGGAGGAAAATTATTTTTTTTATTGGTCAGCAGACCCATATACTTGCATTGTGAAATAGGGCAATAAAGTACTATCGCAGTGTAGCACTGAAAAGCAGGAAGCCGAGCTTGCATATATAATAAGCAAATGTGGCTGCCTGCATCCTTGTTTAATTAGAAACTATACAGTGTTTTAAAGCAGAACTCTAGGCAGAAGTTTTATTACCATGTGCATTGGAGCTGCCCTCAAGGTCACAACAATAAAGATGTGATATTGTATTTCTTTTAGATTGTAAGCCCTCACGGGCAGGGCCCTCCTTACCATCTTGTCTTGAATTGTATTGTGATTGTAATGTCTTCCTTATATTGTAAAGCGCTGTGCAAACTATTGGCGCTATATAAATCCTGTATAATAATAACTTATTTCTTCCACTGGACCAATACATACATAAATGTATATATTTCCCTTTTGAAAAGTGTGTTAACTTAAAATTATTAAACAGTTTGGCACTTCACTAAAAATGGTTTAGGATTCTTGTTACATTCACAATGGTATTTTCTAGAAATAAACCGATACTAGTATCGGTATTGGTGCAGATACCGAGTATTTGGGCGAGTACTCTTACTCTGCTGCTTTTCACTGATAAAAGCCTATGAACACTATTGCAAGGGGTACTATTTTTGGGTCCCTCTCAAAGCGCCCTCTCAGTGCAGAAAGACATGTGGGCTGTTTTCAGCATGGTTGGGCCAAATACTCTCTGCCCTCTTGACAGAAGATGCAGCCTATTTAGTTAGTGGACCAGGCAAGTAGCATTGCAGGCGTGAGATGGTGTGGCATTCTTTTTCTTTACTCCTCCCGGCTTCATGATTGGCGGGCAGCCAGCTCCTTGCTGATTGGCTGGGAAGCCAGCTTTACAGCCAATCGGCATCGATCCAGCCAAACAGCATGGAGACGGCTTCCTGGCCAATCAAGAGGCTGGGTGGCAGGTAATGACTGCTCAATGTTTGTTGGCTGGGTAGCTGGCTTCCCGACCAATCAACATGGAGCTGGTGTTCTGTCGAAATCTCATTGGTGACCGCGCAAGCGCACTGACGGGTTGAGATAGTAAAGCCACGCAGGCGCACTGATGGCGGTTGGAATTGTGAAGCCACACAGGCGCAGTGAAGGAAGTTCAATAACTCGATGAAAATTCTGACAGTGGCACGGCTGGTGCACATTCACCAGCGCCATCTGGTCTAAATGTCTGACTGGCAACTGCTGGCAAGTCACCAGACATGACGTCGGCATTCAGAGATCTCGACGAGTTGGAGCTTTCAACAGAACACTGGCCAAACAGCCAGCTCAATGCTGATTGGCTGGGAAGTCGCCTTCCTGGCCAAACAGCATGGAGTCAGCTTCAGAGCTTCTTGATTGCCCAGGAAACCAGCTCCATGCTAGCGGAAGTACCAGTATCGGTAATCGGCGAGTACCGAAATATAAATATCGGTAATCCTACTGGATACCGAAAAACCGTATTGGTGCATCCCTAGTATTTTTCCTTTAATAATTGTAGATAAGTACAAGATTTTTAATGCCTTGTTCAATGCGATTACGGACAGAAATTAAACATGGTTAAGAAATCCCCTACATTTTTGCATATATATCTATAGCTATTAAAGAATAAAGAACTATTTCTGTTCCCCAAATACATTCATTCAATTTATTCTCACAATCCATAAAATATGTAATTAGCAAAAAGACAGGAAAATGGTGCCAAGTCACTCATTGTTCATTATAACGGCTTAATGCAGCTCTGCAGATTCACAGTTAATCCACATCCCCTGCAGAATATATTGCATTTGGGGTGATAAATACCATGTTAATTTGTCCTTTTCCTCAAACAGGCACAAAAGATATTTCTAATAGCAAGTCTCCGTAAATATGATTCATGTGAAAGATTGTCATCACGTATTCACATTATTATTTTATTAAAAACCACCTTCTTATTTCATTGATTGCTATAATGGTAGTACCATGAGAAGATTGTCATCATTGAAGAAAATTGCAGTTAAATCATGGCTTGACCAATAAAGAAACATAACTGGCCTACGGTGAAATGGCTTTAGGACAGAAGCTATTTTCTTGAATGATATTATTGAGTGTGTAAAGACTTTGAAATTCTTGCAGTTTTCGAGCCTCTAAAACTGCAAACTAATAAATAGCGAAATTGTGTTCTACTCTTATTGCTGAATGCATGGACCTTTTTGATTTTCCTATAGATCGTATTTTTGAAGACCATGAAAATCTAGTTGAGAACTTGTTGAACTGGACCCGTGACAGTCAAAACAAGCTGATGTTTGTGGAACGCATTGAGAAATACGCATTGTTCAAAAACCCACAAGTGAGAATATCTTTACTTTTGCTTTGGTATTTATTCTTTTGGAAATATAGCTTAAAAGCTTTTTTTTTAAGATGGTTTAAGAATACATAACAGCACACAGAATAGTTTGTACAAGTACTTTGAGAAAAAAAAAGTAGTGAAATGCACAACCTTTTTCTAAAGATGTTGTCAAGATCTATAGAAAAAGATTGTGCATTGCAATGTTTTTCTTCTTCCTAAAAATTTTAGTTGCCGGGCTGTTCTGCTGATAACTCTGGATTCAGAACTTTGTGAGCTACTGGCAAGAACAAGTATGCAGATCAGGTGTTCTGCCTAAAATGGCTGCAAACTTGGTCCATGGCATTGACTATGAAAATAATGAAGCCAGGGAATCACCATGACTGCACCAGTGGCAGCTCTTGTATTTTTTTTCTCTTTCCCTAATAAAGTGAATTCACATAATGCTCCATATTAAGAGCTGTTCACCAGTAGGCCTTTATATGGAATAATGACGGTTATTCCTAAAGCATAAAGACTTCCTGTTTACTGTCATTAATGAACTACAGGTGCCTTCCAGTTACGCATTGAATCCTAAAAAAAGAAAGATGAATCATTGCCGTAAAATGAAGCCATGCAAATGTTAAAATGAATGAATGTTAGCTAATACACCATTTTAAGAAAACAATTAAACTCTGTTCACAAAGAGCTTTTGTTCTAAAAATATTAACCACCTAAGTAATGCCGTATTAAAAATAAATATATAAATAGAGGAATGTGTTCTTTAAATGGCACTGCAGAAAAAAACGTATGGTTGGGCCAGTGCATCTGTGAATGGCTGTGCTCAAGCAGTCATTTGATAGCTCAGATCAGAGGCACAATGTACAGAGCCAATCAGAGTGGTTCTATACGCTGTGATCACGGTGTTTGGAAACCTTAAGCCGATTGACAACAGAGAAAGGGAAGTACTGAATTACTGTTAACACAGGCAGGCAGGAGGATTGCTGCAGACTGAAGGTGAAAGTAGGGATTTTTTAAAGTGCCATTGGCCACCAATGATGGTGGAGGGTTTTAAAGTGCAAATGACCTCCAGTGGTAAGGTAAAAGAAATTAAAGGTAAATGTAAGTATTCCTAAAATTTGGGTCTTTTTTTTCTTTTGTATTGTAAAACATAAAAACCCAGTGGTTATTAAAAACTGCCAAAATAAAGTTTTATATAGGTCTCAAAAATTGTTATAGGTTTTTTTTTAGGTACAGTGTTGCATGACCGAGTAACAGTGGCGTAACAACCGGGGGTGCAGCAGGGGCGCGGGCACCGGGCGAAAAGTGAAGGGGGGGCGCCAGATAATTGTTAGCCAAACTATAAAAGCACTGGAAACTCTGTACACTGCAAGGGCTTCAGGAAACCCTTCCCACATTACACTGATACACCCGTGTAAGTGAGGACTGACTTCTGAGCCTACAGTTTAAAGCAGATAAAGTCATTTCAGTTGCATCAAAACAAAAAGTGTCCGCTGTGTTTTCTTTATAAATCGTTCGCGGCCTGAGTAGAAAAGCCTGGGCCCTGCCAGCAGTTGTAATGTTGGACCCTTAAGTAGGGTATAGACGGGTAGATTTTCGCACGACCGTTCGTAGGAAAAAATCGATAATTCCATTAGAAACTTGGAAATTGTCGTTCTAAATTTTGTTTGATTTTTGGTTTTATTTCACATTTGGTTTTGGAATTAATGCAACATGTTCCTACAAATTTTGTCATTACTGCGGTCGAAACCGATCATCTATTTCACCGTATCAATGATTAGAAAGTGGAACGAACATTCCGAAATCGATTTAGTTGGTGCGAGATTCTAACCGTGTATACCCAGTTTTACTGTTTGCTGAGAAGCAGTGATCTCTTTGCAGAGGTCTTGCATGCCCCCTGCGTGAACTAGGGCTCTCAAATCCATGGGGCACATGAGCTTTACTGATTGTGGTGTATAGATCTGACTGAGTAGCCTCTTCCACATGACAGTACAGCACTTGAGCATGCAATCATCAGGCCAAAGTGCTAGCTAGGAACAGGATGACTGTGCACGTCCCTTTGTAAAGCTGGCCATACACCAGTACATGTGTACATTTGTTTTCAGAACGTTCTTTCAATTTTTTAATAGTTAATGAAGTCAAATGGACGCTCCTTTTCAACTCTAGAGATAAACAAAATCGAAGAAGCAAGATGGAAATTCTAACAGTGAATTTTGCTCTGTTCTAGAAAATGTGTTCATTCCAAAATCAAATGTTAAAACCAAAGGAAATTGCAAATTACAGTCATCAAGTCTCTGATGGCGAATGTTCTGATAAGTTTTTTCAGATAAATGTTCGTATGAAAATTTTGCTCAGAATGTTGAATACACAGAAAGTGGGGGAGTCTGGCAGAAGATCAGAGCAAAGTAGAGAAGGCCTTTTAAGGAAAGTTTGTGATGAGGGACATATGGATGCTGCCATTGCTGAACTGAAAATGTTATTTGCCTGGCTATTCTTCTGATCCAATAGCTACAGTAAATTCTGGGTTACTGAGCTGGAACAAGAATGAGAGTAGGGTGTTCTCACCTTACTTGTGTCAGAGGATAAGCATGACTGCTAGGCAACTAGATCTAGAAAAGAGGTCAGAAATGACAGCCCCTATATTTCTCATGGGTAGCTTTAGGATTAGGTTTACAGGATTAGTTGCATGTCGGTGTGGGCTTAATTGTAAGGACTTATTCACACCACTGATACTGACCACTGCAACGCACTCATTGTCTCGCTTTGACTTGCATTGCGTTTAACAGTCCATTAAAAAAAGATATTGACAATAGTGCAGGACACCATGCGTTGTAGGAAATGTGGTTTAGAGGTGCATTGGGGTGCCCTACACAATGAATGGCACCTCAGTGCAGCAATGCATGTAGTGGCTACAATAGTGTTATCACAGCAATGGTGTGAATGGGCTCTTAAAGTGACATTAAACCCTCAGATTTTTTAACATAAACCAATACTGTAATGTGTGCCTTACTGTAATCCATGGTTGTTTCCCTTCTCTTTGATGCTCTTCCTTTTTAAATCTGTATGTTTTCTCATGCTTGGAGAGAACTTCCCTTTTCAGCTCAGGGCCTCTTCCTGTAGTGCTGGCTCAGGTTACAGCCTATAGAAACGTATACACAGACACCGTTTGAGACAAGGCAGTCTGCTGAAAAGGGAAGTTCCCTCCAAGCATGAGAACAGATACAGATTTAAAAGGAAGAGCATCAAAGAGAAGGGAAACTACCATGGATTACAGTAAGGCGCACATTGCAGTATTGTTTTATGTTAAAAAATCTGAGGGTTTAATGTCACTTTAAGGCAACATGTTAAAATTTAGGTTAAGGGTTAGGGTGAGGGGTAAAGGTAAAGTGGCATAGGCTGGGGGTTAAGTGTGAGGTAGGGGAAGAGTTGTTTAGTTGTGTCCATGCCCTAAACTTCCGGTGCTGACACCAAAACTAGTTTACCATTGTTTTTTTTTGCATCTCCTGTGTAAATAATTATTTGCAACCCTCTCATGACATGTTTGTAAAAGAAAACAGAAGCCTCATTAAGCCCTTGCAGGCTGCTGACATCAAAAACTGTCTTGTGTCACAGAAATGCCTCGTTATTGAAGTGTTAAAATAAATGAAGCCTAAAAGACAGGACAGAGTGCATATTCTAGCAGACCAATTACAGCATTTTCACTACAAATCAGTTTGAGATGCTCATGGGCCCGAGTTTACTAATTGCATTGACAGCTGCGTTGTCCGCAGCTACACAGCTTAATATTTTAGAGGTGTGCACATACAGCTTCGTGATACAGCAGTTTTTATGGCACTTTGTACTTTCTGTGCTTCTAGATCAACAACTCCACTTACAGGAAGGAGAGACATTTTGGTAAAGTGTTTTACAAGACCTCAGCACTAAAGCTATTACAATGCATCATAAAGTAGAGGTCAAACAGAAAACGTTTTCATAGCGGTTATGTTGGGGTTTTATACCAATTTTGGTTATTCGCTGAAATTCATTGGCTTTTAAAGTGACCCACTTTTAGACTTGTGGTGTGAGCTCCTTTGTGAATACTTAAGGCTCAAGATCAAGCTTTCTGAAGAGAATTGTTAGTGACCCTAAACTCAGGAGTTGAACCTTAAAAATGCATTCAAGTACTTTAACTATTTACAAAAATTTATCATTTTGTATCACTCGGCTGTAGATCCTCAAATCATCTCTAAATTCATGCTGACACGGTCCTTCCTTCTAAAAGGTGGCTTCTATTGATCCCCATGGTCCGTGCGTGTGTTGTAAAGTAGCCACCTCTCCAAGCTCACTCGTAATAGACTACAATCTCACATTTAGTTTACTAATTTGTATTGAGATTGTAGTCCATTACGGGAGAGAGCTTGGAGCAATGGCACCTTACAAAACACACAGGGACCACAAGGGGACAAAAGTAGCCACCCTCCAGAAGGAAGGACAGTGTCGGCACCAATTCAGAGATGATTTGAGGATCTACAGCCGAGTGATACACATATAAGATACATTTTTCTTAATAGTTAAAGTATTTGAATGCATTGTTAGGATTTAACTCCTGAGTTTAGTGCCGCTTCGAGCGCATAGTTTGGGTCTGTGTAGCACTCACATTCTCCTCTGTGACTGAGGAAGAAAAGCATTTATGGCAAATCAATCTTTTTGCTACATTGTGTCATTGATTGATCGCTGTCAAATGGCTTTGCAAAATAATATTTTATACGTATTCTACTCTAGGGAAGTATGGGAATGGTCTGGGATCCTCCATTGGAGTATGTCTACTTTTGGCTTAAATTTTCAAATACTGGCAACATGTAAAGAAATATCTGACTTGTATGGACTACATGAACCAGCCTAATGGCTTAACTTTTATTTCAGAACTACCTTTTAGGAAGGAAAGAGACCTCTGAAATGGCAGACCGAAATAAAGAAGTTTTGCTAGAGGTAAGTTCTACCATTCCTTAAAATGACACTTATTCTATTAGAAAAATGTGACTCCTTATGTTCTTTTCTTCACACAGCTAGTGTTAAAACATTTTTTTTTAGGTTTATAAATTTAATACAATATTTAGTAGATTTCATTATTTTTTAACTGCACATGCCGTTGATATTTTTTCCCCAAGTTTTACAAGCAGAACAAGGTGACCAGCAAAAGTCAGAGTGACAGGGTGTGGAGCAAACTATAACACTCCCAGGGGTGCTTGAGTAACAGGTTTTTTGTTTTTTATGTTTTAAACCATATGAATAAGGTTGCAGAAGTAAGTATTCATTGCAGTGTCAAGGTTTGTGCCAAGTTCTGTCCCTGTCACTTTTGCTGGACAACTGGATCTGCATGTTAAGGTGGAGAAAATAAGATAAGGAGATAACCACATATAGCTTTTCCTGTTGGCTGTTCTTTAATTACATTTTTTTTAAATCTCACTTGCTAAATCTGAACTGTAGACATAAAGAAAATACCATGTAAATCAACTAAACGTTTTTCTTAAAATGTCATCTCCATGGTTATGTGTTACCTGCTGCCCTCCATTTCTCTGAAGCAACTGGTTGCTGCCATTCTGCCTGGCTGCAGTGTTGTAATACAGGGAAGGTAATAAAGAAAATATAGCCTGTCTGCTCAGTAATGCCCACCACATGCTCTATAGGTGTAATGCTGCTATGGATGAGCCATAGGGATATGCTGTCGGCTGCACTGTTCTAAATCACTGGTGTTACTGCCCATAGTGGTCACAGACATGCATGGGCTTTTAATAGCGAAAACTGCAAGTAGTTTTAAATATAAAACCATGAAATCAGTATTTTATAAATGGCATCAAATGCAAAGGCTCAAATCCCAAATCTCACCAGGGTAAGGTTGGTCATTAAATTAAACAGTACTTTTCAGCCCAATGAAATTTAAAAATTAAGGTCACGGGGAATTTATCAAAATTTAAACAGACAGAAGCAGTTGCCCGTGGTAACCAATCAATGTATCTCTTTAGTTCAGTCAAGATTTGAAAATGAAAGAGAGAAGCCCATTGGTTGCTATGCACAGCTGCTCCAGGTTTTCTCTGCTCCAGTTTTGAGAAATTCCCCTCACAGGGTATAATAAAGGCACTTAATCCTTGCACTAAAGCTTTGTAAATAAAGCCACCAGTCTAATACAGCGGTTATATCACCATATCCAGCTGTGCCATTAGGAACTGATTGTGAACTGGTTATTTATAGGTGTTGTCTGTCACAGTGGAATATACTGCACGCCAGTATTTTAGGTGGAAATGTGAAGATTGGTGACAGGTCCACTTTAACTTTGTAATTTAGTCATTATCCCAAATACTAAATCCCTGTCCTGCAATAGGAACAGTGCTCACAAATCTCTACACTGATCCATTTAATATAAATAATAAAGAAAAAAGAGGAAAGCTATTTTAGTTGCCCTTTTAACTTTGTAATGGCACATGTGGACAGCAGGGGTAAGATGGTGTTTTTTTCTTTCTTTCTGTAATGTTCTAGGTTTTTTTTGTTAAGTTTGGAACCGTTCCTTGTCTGGCAAACAGACGTTTATTAAATTCTCGCAACTAAAATGTGAAGAAAAGAAATGAAAAAGAACAACAGCTGTATTTTAAAAGACTGCTGTGTGTAATCTGTCTGTGAAAAATATGGACTGTTTGTACAGCAAAGATAATCGGTTCCCATAATAAAAAGAGATGAGCTGATCATGGCAACCAGTCAGATCCAAACTCATAAACTGGAACGCAAGCCAAAACATTCTTTTCAGACTTGGACAGAACATATAAGCGTTTAGAACCTCAGGTGTTTGTTGTTCTGTGTCCCCTTTGTGGGACTTCTCACTTTATGAATGGTCAGTGAGAAGGGAAGGAAGGGAGATCTCCAATGGGGACACAGCTGTAAAACCAATTTGTGGTGGGGGGGGAAAGGTTAGAAACTGTTTCTGGTCTTTGCTGTCTGTTTACTGGTTCTAATACTTTCCCAGTTTATCAAAATCTGGATCAATTTATATTTTAGTTGAGCTTTTAGTTTAAATCAGCTAAATATTACAGGGATATCAAAACAATTCAGACTTATAGCTGTGCAATCAGCAAAGGTCATGCTCTCTGCTGAATAGGGATGCCCCGATACCGATACTAGTATCGGTGCCCATACCAGGTATTTGGGCGAGTACCCGTACTTGCCCAAATGCTCCTATACTTACCCCGATACCAGAACTGACCGGCAGTGCCGCAAGGGAACATGGAGCCAGTAATGACTCGCCGCCTGGCTTCCTGATTGGCCGGGAAGCAGGCTCCATGCTGATTCCCAGCCAATCAGATTGGAGCCGGCTTCTCGGGCAAAAGCTGGGCAGCGGGTAATGCACATGCCGCCCGGGTTTCTGAGTGCCCGGGAAGCCGGCTCCATGCTAGCGGCTCGGTACTCTGCATCAGCGAGGGGGTGTGCTGGACCTCTGCAGAGAGACCTCTTTTCAATGTAATAATAAAAAGAACCTTCTCTGCAACATGTTGGCAATCAACTAGCTCTTTCTGCTAAGGCTGTTGCCTGTGTCAATTCTAAAGAAAGCAAACTGTAAAACTTTGCACACTGGAATGTTTTGAGCTAATTTCAGTAGAAAGTTAAGTTGGGCTTTAAATCTGTCTTTCAGCGTGCTAGATATTCCAAGCTGTAGACCATTCTGGGCACAACGCCTGCTTGGCATCTGAGAATTGCTCAGCCCTGTGTTACATGGGTTTATTTTGTCTGGAAAATTGTGTAACTTCCTCTTAGCTGTTGATTCATTAGTTCTTAATAAAGTGAGCAAAGAAGTAATCAGCGCTTTCAGCAGGATGACAATTTCCCTAATCGTAAACATTTTTCTATTTCACTATAAGTTGCATTATTATAGTATGCCAATTACAGTCCTAAACTAAAGCCCAACTCCAGTTAAAGTGTATGTAAACCCTAACAATGCTCTGCTCTTATTTGTTTCCTTTTGGTCCGCTAAATATAGCACTCAAATGGTTTGATTTGTTTAATAAGTGCAAAAACTGTTGATGTTGATTTTGTAAACTCTTGTGAGCGGATAACTTCCTGTGCACAAGAAGCTGGTGACAAGGGAGGGAAAGCAGGTGAGGAGAGGCTAATTAATTGATATGTAACCTCTTTTGCACATTTAGCATCAAACGTTGAGGTAAAAAGCTATGCCTAAAGTTAAAATAGTAGAAATGTATGCTATAGTAAATACTAGGAATGCTCCTGTCTCAGAGCCTCAAGCTGTAGAATTCCTGCCTGAAAGCACTGGAATTCATGGACAGGACTGACCTTTATGAGGACATGGACTTTGAGAATATAAAACACCTCTAGCTCTCTCAGTGGTTGAGTTTTTCCTTTTTGTTCTCATGGGACGGACATAAAACATGATTAGGAATATGGATTCCTTTTGAAGTGACCATAGTAGCTTTTACTCCTCAAACAGCTGCATTGCAGCACATGGTGAACACATGGTGTAAGGTGATGCAGATCTTAAGATGCTCCACTTGCATGAATGTATAATAGCATTTACATTAAAGTGATTTGGTTATGGTTATATATGTCACTGTGAGTTATTACAAAACTACTGGTTTTATTTAGCCTTCATGTCTTGTGTCTTTAGGAATGCTTCTGTGGTAGTTCAGTATCTGTCCCAGAAATTGAGGGGGTCCTTTGGCTAAAGGATGATGGGAAAAAATCCTGGAAAAAGCGCTATTTCCTACTCCGAGCATCTGGTATTTACTATGTACCTAAAGGAAAAGCGAAGGTAATGTGGTGTTTAGCAGCATGCTTACATGTTTGTAACCTACTCTAATGTACAGTTGTAAAAAAAACAAAACATTTTGGCAATCCCAGTCAAACTACCTGTCGTGCTGACCTTATACTTAAAATGTTATGTTATATATTTCATATTGAGCTTTTTGCATGAAAGGGATGGGGAGCACCAAATAAACTATGCATTTTCTATCTGTTTACACAATAGCCAGCAAGTTGGTACTTGTAACTTAGAGGTTTAGTATTTAAAATGGCTTCAGAAATATATGATTAGCTGTTTAAATAGAAAACAGGACAGATTAAAGTGACACCAGTGTTCAATTTGAAGTGTATTTTCATCTACAGGGCTAGTTCACACCACCGCTTTCTGGTGGTGTGTATGCTGAAAAAAAGTACGGCATGCAGTACTTTTTTTTTTTTAAGCACACCATGGTGAGACGGGGTGCAGTCGCATTGCACTGCGGTGAGCCAATAGAACTGAATCAAATGTAACTTGTAAAATTTCAATAAAGTTCTACAAAAAAAAAAGCAACAGTGTTCAGCACTGTTTGGGCTGTGAGGGTATGTTCCCACCAGCAGCTATGCTCTACTGCGCAGCTGCTAGTGTGTACGTACCCTCACAGTCAAATTTGAGAACTCCCCACTATATGTTTGTGTTCCCATATCTAAATTAATGTAAAAAAAATTTAAACCTGTTCTTCGAAGAACACATAAAACCCTAGCAGCTTGTATTGTTTAGAATAGCTTGCAATGTGCAAGTAGGTAACAGACTAAGACATGTTAAAGTGCATTGACACACAGTGTGCCAAGCAAAGCCTTGGAATCTTTAACCCTTTGTTGGGCTGCAAAAGTAGAAATACACTTTAAAGGGCAGGTTTTTTTTTTACCTTCTTTACTGCTTTAACCCCTTCATGACTGAGGCCTTTTTTTCATTTTTTGTAACCCAAGGGCCGGAAGTGATGCAATCTGCATCGCTCCCGGTCCCATAGAACGGGGAGGGGATCGATGAACGGAAGTTCGTAGACCAGCTCCCCACAGACACCAAGATCGCCGGTCCCGGGCCCGTAGGAGGTGCAACGGAGCCCGGGAAGCACGGCCCCTTCTTCGGGACGCAGAAGCGATCTGGCGACAGGTAAGTCGCCAGGATCGCTTCTGTTGTAAAGCCGACAGTCGGCTCTACAAGTTTAAACAGATTCCCGGCGGCAAAAGTCACCGGGAGTCTGTTTAAACAGCCCCGATGCTGGCGACGTACACTGTACATCGTCAGTCACGAAGGGGTTAAGAGCTCAGTTGCAGGAGCTTAAATGGCATTGCTGAATAAGACAGACGATGGGCATACTTCCTCTCTCTCCTCTGTCTATACACCCCATTTAATATCAGCTAGACAAAACCAGTCAGCACTGCGTTCTTTCCTTTTAAAGCCCAAAATGATTTGCAAAATTAGTGTCTTGGGTGCACCTTGTATTAAATGTTTTTAAAGTACAGATTTTATATAATAAACTAAAATAAAAAACAATCATGTTTTCCCTTTAGGCAGCAAGATGTTCGGTGAACTGTTAACATTGTCAAGGGAACATTGTTAAACAAAAAGTGATGTGTGCCGATTCTCAGGCTGCTGGTGATCTTGCCTGGCAGATTCACTTTAATTTGAGCTTAATAAAATGTTTCCTTTGACAGACTGAGCAGGACTTCTAGAAGATCACTGGATTGGTTGGCAGCTCTTTGGGTTGCTTCCTCACATCTACATCTTTGTGCATGTCAGTACCTGGTGATAGTTGAGGTAGTCTTGCCCAGCATGTGAAGTGCCATCAAAGTGATATCACTGGAATACAAAATACACTTAGACGATTTCAGCTAATGTGATATACATGCAAATAAACATTTTTAAAATCATCCAGTGCCTGGGTAAGTGCCATATATACAGGACAGGAGAAAGTACTGTTTAGTGGGATTTTAAAACATCTCGAGACTTTTACTGACACAGAAGACCCTGCCATGTACAGTAGAGAGTTGGCCTTCTGAGCATCATGAAGAACTGTATAAAATATTATTAAATGACATTGCTTAAAACTAAAAATATTTTAATCACTCTGGTTTTCAGGCATCTAGAGACCTTGTCTGTTTTCTTCAACTGGATCACGTTAATGTTTACTATGGTCAGGAATACCGCAGCAAATATAAAGCACCCACTGACTACTGCCTGGTGTTAAAGGTAAGCCTTTAGTCCTAATGACATTACTGACTGAACTGTTTTGAAGGTTGCTTTACAATGCATACCTCTGCTCTTTGTGGCACAGACACATGGAATTCGGCAGGAATTAGTTTGTTCCATTTACAGTCTCTATAAGTGTGTTTGATCATTTTGTTGTAGAGTGTTGATGGCAAGGCCTAGCTCTGTAGCAGCCATTCTCAACCAGGGCGCCTTCTGACTTTGTCACGGGTACATTCAAACTTTTGCACAGTGTCATGCATTTCCATGATGTAGGTGAGCCAGCCACCAGCACCATGGAAACACATGATGGTAATCCAGGGCAGGCTGCCTCCAGGAGCTTCCCAGCATTCAGAAGAAGTTAGACGTTTGCTTCCGTCCAAACCTGCTCCATCTCTCACCCTCTGCCATGCTTCCGCAGCCTCACCATGGTGAGAATTTTAAGGTAGGTCTCTTGATGTGAATCTAGGGGGCTCCTTATTGAAAGTGGTGGCATCTGATGTAAAGGAGAGTTACTTTGTTGTGGAGGAGGGAACCCATTGTCTTTTTTTTGGTGGGGGGGCGGGGCTTTAGGTCTCCTTATCTAGAATACTGGTCTGTATAGATTTAGGGGGGAACTGCACATAATTTTATAAATGTTTGTTTTTTACATTGTAGACTAGAATGCCTCGAGATTTTGCATACTTTTAAAGGGTGCCCCGATTGAAAAAAGGTTGAAACACTGCTCTAGAGCTTGTACCTGGTATCATGTGTTGGAGCCGTAGCAGGGCTTGATCAGGTTTTTGTGGAGTAAACTCTTTGGAGTGTGGAGCTGAAACTGACATACTATAGCTGCTCTTTCCAGTGCTACCTCACATGACTTTCATACATAAAAAAAATAGCTTAGGTCAGTATGCAGTTATTTTGTCTGAGTAACTGGTACAAAGTGTTTTACTGCATTCTCAGAATTACTGTCAGTTATGATGTGTCTTTGAAAAACACCACCATTTCAACACTATACTGTCCTCCCATGGACAGTATAGTGTTGGTCTTCTGAGCATCATCAGCCTGGTGATGAACTCTGGCAATCCCTTTTCAGAATCTTATGAAATGGGAATGTGTGTGCATCATATGTAAACCTTCACAGTTCATTTTGATCTGTCTGCTTCTTTACCTACACTGCCATCCAGTGGTGGTCTGCTTTTAAAGTGTAGCTTTTTAAAGGATCCCTGGCCTAAAGCAAAAAAAAAACACACACACACACACACACACACACACACACACACACACACACATAAATTATACTGTATATAACATGGTAATCCACACTATAGAAAATAACAAATATGTATAAATCGATACAATGTCAGTAATATAGCAAAAGAGCCCTCTCAATAGCAGAGATACCTCAGACAAAGAGCCAACACATTAATAATGAAAAAAACATCTTTAATTATATAGGTGTATTGAGACATACATCCCCAATAATGTATTCTCTAAATTGCAACACCCCATCCAGTTAAAAAGATTTAAATATGGGATCCTGGTAAATGTAACCTTGGTGGCAATAAAAACAATATTTCTTCCTTTTTAAAAAAAAATGAAAACTCTGTTGTAATATCGACAACCAGTCCGCGTGTGATTAAAGCCACTTCAAAGATGATAACTTGTATCAAAATGTATCAGGAGAAAGAGACTTTTTCCTGATACATTTTGATACAAGTTATCTTTGAAGAAAAAGTCTTCTGAGCTTGCCATATGCCCTCTTCTCCTTTTTTGGATAGTTTGACAATTTCAGTAATAGCATTAGACTATGTTTCAGATATTAGATTGTAAGCTTGCAGTAGGGGTAGTCCTCATCCTTTTATCCACCCTGCTCTGATCTTTCATTTGCACCCAGATTACAGCAAATACACACCTATTTCTGCTATGTCACACCCCTTTTGAGTCCAGAAATCCAGATTGTACTGACAAAATACGGAGGGTTGAAAGATGTGCTTTCCTGTTATGTGTGAAACAATGTTATTTTAGGATTTCTTTCCGAGCTGTTGCTAGGTTGAACATGTATATCTGTAACAAATTGTAAATAAACTTTGAACAAATAGAATGTGTTTTGTGTTTTTGCTGTTCAGCAGAAAATCTAGTATGAAATATTGATGTGCTTATTCATTATTTTACAGCATCCACAAATCCAGAAAAAGTCTCAGTATATCAAGTATCTGTGCTGTGATGATGTCCGAACTTTACACCAGTGGGTTAACGGAATCCGCATAGCAAAGGTAAACTCCCTCACATTCCTTTTCAGCCTATACAATAGGAACACATTCATCTTACATGAAGCCAGGGGCCTTAGTGTTCATCACATTGTCTACATCTGGTTACTGTCAATGAAAGGAAGAGCGATCAGATTCCTCAGTGCGCATTTATTATAAGTCCTGTCAACTGCCTGATCTAAGGATAAAAACAGACAAAGCTAACATCAAATGAACAATAAAGGTCATAATGGTAAACTCTCCAGGTCTGGACAAGAAACTGAGTATAGAAGAATGTAATGATCCAGTGACCAGTAACAGAAAATTCTGACATTGATCTAGTTATGTTGTAATGAATTGTTTCTTCCAGCAAAAGAAAAAACACCCTATTTAAACCATTAGAGGCTTCTAATCTTTGACATTGGCTAAAGTCTTGTGTACACATAAAGCACATTGGGAGTTGTGATCTGTCTTCTAGAGAGTGTGCCAGTTCCAAGTCAGTAGGTGTTTATTAACTTCTGGCACATGCTCTTCCTGTGGGATTTGGTCAGCCTTACAAGTGTTTTCTATGCTCTACGCTATATTCACAAACCTGACTTGGGCACATACTAGGTGCATGTAACAGACTAAGCACAGGGTAGCACATGTTCTAAACATGTTGGGAGCAGATATAGTAACATAATAATAAATATAACTTTATTTATACAGCAATTAAAAATTATTGAATTACATTTTTTGTAACAAAATGTTCTTGTAGGACCTAATGAATAAAGTGCCATTTTCTCTTCTAGTATGGGAAGCAGCTCTACACTAATTATCAGGAGGCTTTGAAGAGGACAGAGGCAGCTTATGATTGGACATCCCTGTCTAGTTCCAGCATGAAATCCGGATCCAGCTCTTCCAGTTTGCCAGGTAAGTCGGATGGTTCTGCATGAAGCCAGATCCTTTTCCTCAGAAAGAAACCCAGCCATGGAATTCTGAACCACAGAGGATTGAACTTCAAAGTTCTTATTGGATTTGTTGAATTCTTCCCTTTTTATTTCTTCCATGTAATCATTAGTATCTTCGAGAAACATAAAGACTGATGTGAAGAATTATTTTTCAGCTTCATGGTAACTGAATACTTGTGATATTTTCATGTAGTATTATGTTAGTTTTGAAAGCAAAAATGTCCCAGAAATGATATTTCGGTTTTGGATGAATGGAAAGAATAACATGCTGGTTTCTCTTTGAAAGTGGCTTCATCTCCCTGCTGGACTTTGTGGTTCTGCCCCACTGCTGCAGCCATTATGACACTGTATAAAGGAGGTTTTTTTATTACTCCTGCTGCGTTCTGTGTGATCAATGTTAAACTGCTTTTCTGGGCAAAATATACACCCATAGTACATCACTACAATACTTGCTCATTTCCTGATGTTTTATCCATTTAAAACTGCCCAGGTATAGAAAATATGCCTGTTGATCTTCCTCTAGTGAGCTGACAGTGCTACCTCTGTGCACTAAAATCCCAAGAGGTGTTGTCAGCCTTGTCCAGTTATCACCTGCTAGACAACAGAACAGCCCCTCTTACAACCCTCTCCTTTCTGCTATGGAGTGGAGGAGGTGTTCTGTAGTCCAGAGCAATGCTGGTTCGGGATTTCAGTGCAGCAAAGATAGTGAAAAACTGCAGCACTACAGAAAGTAAGGAGCTCAATGGATTTCTGGCAGTATCGTTCCCAGACTCAAACACCTGAGGTGAAGGGGAGTTGGAAGGTACCTAACCCTTTGGCCTGATACCGAGCTGTGTAGAGCTTACATAGGATTTGGACCTATAGCGTTGATAGAGGTGC